CCTTTGCGCGCACTGGACCTGATCCTCGCAAACCTGTTCAAGCCTGCTGGCACACTGAACCTGATCCTCGCGAACCTGCTGGATGGCTTGCGTGGTCTTGTGCTCGCTCTCTGTCATGCGTCCTTGCAGTCCCTGGATAGCCTGATCGAATTGAGCCTTCATAGCCTCAATTTTTCCGTCCACCTCGGAGCGCAACTGTGTGGCCATCGTCACAGTTGGTCCGGCAGGGACCGCAGTGGGCGCGTCCTGCGGATTTGCTGCGGGGAGAGTCGCGGCGATCGTCCCCTGCGCAAGGTGTCGATTGAGAGCACGCCTCAGCGTAGACGGGCCCGCCACTAAAGCATCTTGTGCAGAATCTGCCTTCTTCTCAGCAGCTGGATTTATCAACACCAGCTTCTCGTTCAATTGGAAGGTTTCTGCAGGTGAGGTTGTGGTGGCCGCTCCTACTAGCCAGGCTCCGTGCCCGATCTGTTTCAATGGCATGGCTTCCCACTTCAGTTGATCCAGCAAGGTCTGGACCGTCTTCTTGTCAGCACTGCTGGGGAGAGGTGATATCACCCATCGTGAGCTGATAGCGATATCAGTCTTGACACCTTCACTCTTCCAGCTTGGCTCTAATTTAGACCGGATTTGCGAGTACTCCGATGCCACCACTCGCAATCCCAGTGAAGACTTGCCAGCAACCACACCTTTGGCCGTCTGGTGGGCACGCTGCACAAGTAAAGCCTTCGAAATGTCTCTGCTGCCGAGCCAAATCACTTTGTATTGGCCGCTGGGTGCACTTGACTCTGAGCATTTTGGTGTCAGAAATATGGCATGCTTACCACTTTGGGCAATGACCTTGTCCATGTGATCCTTTGCGATTTTGACGAAGCAGTGCCATGACATGGCGCTGGCTGCATCGGCAGGCTTGCCATTGCAGAACCACTTCTTAGACCATGTGGCAATGGTGTATGGTCCAAAATCTTCGATGTGCGAAAAAACGAATCTCAAAGGGCTCTCTTGCACTGCTTGCCAGTCTTGCGATTGGGAATACTCCTTCTTGATTTCAACCGTAATGACCTCAACCGCGTTATCAGAAATACTGAGCTGATGTTTAACCAAGTTCAGTGACACCTTCCCCGTACCAAACTGCACCAACCAACCCTTTAACAAAACCTTCTGTCCTACCGACAAGGCTGGAAAAGTTATGGAAGTGACAGCCGCATCTGTGATGCGGGGCTTGCAGGGTCCGATGGTTACGGCGGCAAGTTCATCCTCGGATCCTCCTGCCAACGTCGCAAAGGATTCGATTTCGTCATTGGGGCACAGAGTGACACCTCGTGCCCCTGAGGCTAGCGAACCCAAGATGGGCACTTCTGCACCGCCTTCACCGACAAAAGTGCCAGCGATAAGAGCGATGGACACGTGCTTTGGATTGGGCAGCACACTTGATGAGGCAGCCGCTTCGGACCATGGGTCTGAGTGAGACCAAGGATCTTCCCCCCTAGATGGCTTAGGCTTTGTTTGCTTGGAGGCTCGCAGCTCAGCAGGCAAAACGAGACGCATGGTATCGCCAACTGACTTCTTCAATGAGGCCCAAGGGTCATACGAGTGGTATGCTTGCTCTAAGGCCTCAACTCCAATAGCCTTGATAACATCATCCGCGCGAGCCTCGACCTTATCAGATGGAACCCCTTTAGCAATCAAGTGCTGGACAAGCTTTGCCCGATCACCGCGGGGCTTGCCGCCTCCACCACGAAGACGCAACCGTAAGCGCAGGACGATGGGACAATCAGGACTGACACCGGCTGACAGAGGCACGTGTTGACCGTTTGCTGTGCACCAAACATGCTCCCACGGCATAGGGACTTGGAAGCATGGCTGCAACCATTCCCTGACGGTAACTCGAGTTTTCGGTGGAGGGAGTGTGTGCAGGACACCCACAAAATCATAGAACCCGAAACAGTCATGAGATGCTGTTGCCATACTCACTGTTGGGATTTGTGTTTTGACACAACATGGGCTATGGACAGACGCACGTGCGGACCCTGTCCTGTCAAGTAGCAAGACATTCACACCTGAACTGTCGGCACATGGAGCCTTGCACGTGCTGTCGCAAACAACACCGGTCAAACCTGTTGTGATGCTACCGTCAACTGACAAGAAGTGCGAGGCAGACGCACGGGCGGACCCTGCCATGTCTGTCAGCTGGACATTCACACCTGGGACATCGGCACCTAGAGTCTTACGGTGATTAACGACCTGTACTGTAAAGCCACATGGGCTATGGACACACGCACATGCAGACCCTGCCCCGTCGGCTAGTCGCACCCTTCCTCCTGA